GTCAACGATTTCACGCGTACCTCATCCAATGAAGACAATGGTGTTCATGCACCCCCTCTATCTGACTTGCACACGCCTCCGCTCAATAACATTGGAGATAATATCGACCATACTTCAGTCTCACCCCCGTGCCCGGGCATCTCCAGATACATATGACCCTAGCATCTCTGATTTAGCCAGGCTCCAGCAGCGTACACGGCCCTACATTTTAAGAAATCGAGAAGCCTAACCACACTCATTATTACTCATTAGATTTTCACAACCATTCATCCAATACCTGTACCCAATTTATCCCTCTACACACAATCCAACGGCCAGGGTGAATGTCTATTCTTTTCTTTGTGCTCACATTATCGTTTTGTATTAACCATGCTTTCGCCTTCATTTTCAGCTTATTGACGTCTATTCTTAGACAAGCACTATTCAATTCATTCTACGTTATTCATTCTTGTTCTCGCGCTCAATCAGAATCGGTATTCTATTCGTAACAGTAACGGGTTCCGAAAGTGTCTTCGAACCTATTATATGTTACAACCCACTACTTGTTGCCAGATATCGCCGCAACTAAAGCCATGCTGAACGGCATACAGTGTGCTGAATACGTATTTCTAAAATTAAAGCTTGAGGTTGCTGTGGTTAAGGCGCGAACTTAGTGATCGGAAATTCTACGGCTCGAACCCAAGCACGGCATTTCGACTACTCCTGTCTAGGTCTGGGCAACATTGCACTACTTCATCCCTTGTGCTCCCTTCGAGTGGCATGACAGGTAAGTGCCGCAAAGGTGCTACAACCAAACGATTATTATTCCATCGAAGTAACCAACCTGAAACCTTTCCGATGGGTCTCCGAGAGCCAGTGATGAAATGTCTCCTTAGGCTGCATGTACATCAGAAAACGTGAAGTGCCGAACGTCTGTTTGATGTTCAAAGCATCTGTCTATTGTTGTTTGGAACTGTTTTTAAGCCACTAACCGAACCCGGCGATTCATAACACCAGCTAATTAGCCATACACGTAAACAGGCCAATCTCTCCAGACAACACAAATCTTGAAGACTTGGCAAGTTCCCATTTACAATATTGCTTTACTTTGCGCTGTAAAACCCTTCTCGTGCCTAGTTGCCACGCCGCCCGAAGGAAGCACGAGGGCTGGGATACTGCCAGGTTGCCGAAGCCTAGACAGGGGAAGTCGAGAGGCAGAGGTCGGGTTCGAACCACGGACCTTCCGGTCAGTAAATTCGTGCTCTAGTGACTTGGGCCATCTCACCCCAAGGACAAGCACAGGTACTCCACATTTTACCAATAGAA